AAAAAAGCCATCTCACCCTAGTGATTTCAAATGCTTCTTTTGTTTTATACCAAACATCCATATACACTTGAGTCTAATTTTGGACGTAGAAGAATGAAGCTTTGAAAAATTCAAAGAAGAGCCGAAACCAGTTTGGCTCAGTGGTAGAGCGTCGGCCTGCGGACTGAAGGGTCCTGGGTTCGATTCCGGGCAAGGGCATGTACCTTGGTTGCGGGCGCATCCCCGGTAGGGGGTGTGCAAGAGGCAGCTGGTCGATGTTTCTCTCTCATCAACCTTTCTAGCTCTCTATCTCTCTCCTTTCCTCTCTGTAAAAAATCAATAAAATATATTTTTTTTAAAACTCAAAGAAGATATTAAATGTATCACTTCGGTAAAGTCACAGTGCACCCTTCTGGGTGGATCAAAAAATATATTCCATTTTTACTTGGTAGGAGGGATTAAGCAAAGAGAACTTGGGGGCATAGACAACAGTGTGGAGATAGAAGAGGGCATAGAGGCGATAAATGGTGATGGAAAAAATAAAACATTCTATTTTTAAAAGAAACAGGGCACATTTCTAGCTATAAATAAGTCATGAGGGTGTAATATACAGCATGACAACTGTAGTTAATAACACCATATTGCATATTTGAAATTCTCATCACAAGAAAAAAAATGTAACTCTGTGGTCATGGATACTGATTAGACTTACTGTCTGTCCATTTTGAGACACAAATGCACGGGAACAAATTATGAGTTCACTGGGGACAATCTGTCCTGTGCTTTTGAAAGTCCCCTCATCATACAATGGTGATACGGTTTCTTTTTTTCTCACTTGGAACCTCAGCGGCCACTATCACCTGAATCAATGCCCGGCATCCAAAATGCAGCTCTAAGGTTTTTTCCTCTGTAAGTTCTTTGCCCCCAGAAGCTTAGCTTCCACCTCAGGATTTACTCTACAATATTCACATAGCATCCCTTCCCGAGGAAGCGAAGTGCCAAACCTACTGTCATAATAAACATTAAGAGCTTCACAAAACAGACGGGGGCAACCTGGGGACAACCCAAGTATAAAAAGACTTTTTTGAGGCTAGTCGAACAAAATAAAGTTGAATATACACTGGGTATTAGATATTGTTAAGGGATTATTGCTCATTTTACTTGGTATGATAATGATGGTGTGTGTGTGTGGGGGGGGGCATTCATTTCTGTTAATGATACTTTAAAATACAAATAACATCATGGGTTTACTCTCACACGGGACCTACAAATCTTGGAATTGTAGTCTTCCACATCACCTAGGCCAGGCATGAAAATACACATTTCCATTTACAGGCCAAGTCTAATTTAATGGTGATGGGCTAGGACCATGGTTGGCAAGCTCATTAGTCCACAGAGCCAAATACCTACAGTATAACGATTGACATTTCTTTGGAGAGCCACATTTTTTAAACTTAAACTTCTTCCAGCGCCACTTCTTCAAAATATATTCCCCCAAGGCCGTGGTATTTTGTGGAAGAGCCACACTCAAGGGGCCAAAGAGCCGCAGGTGGCTCGTGAGCTGCAGTTTGCCGACCACGGGGCTAGGAGGAACCTTGGTCTTTACGAGTCGAAGAAAAAAGTCATGCTTCATTAGCGATGCTGGCCCAGGGCATGAGCTAGGGCAGGAGGGCCGTCTGTGCTGTGATCAGCACCGTGAGAACCCCGTCTACTGGTCTCCCGGGAGCTCATCACTTGTCGAGGCAACTAGTTGCTTCTTCAGACAGCACTGTCCACTAAGTGATTTTTCACAGTTTGAGCTGAAATATTACTTTCTGGAGCTTACAACCACGTGACATGAATGGTTAAGTTTAGTCCCTGGGACCAAACAGTGTTTGAACTAGCTGGGAACATCCTCCTCTCCCTTCCAAGCTCAAAACATCACTCAGTCCTCCAAGCACTCCTCACATGGCCTGGGCCCCACCCCTCCATCCTCACCACTCGCCCATGACAGGGGCCAACGTGCCGCTGCCCCGCGTGCCCCTCCCCCCCCCCACCCGGCCTGCCTCCCTCGTCCCCCTGTAGCACAGAAAACTGTCTGTGACGTCACGTTGTCAAAGCATAAACCCCAAAATGCCGTGACTGGGTTACTGTCTTGGTTTGCAGAATCTGCATTCATTTTTAATTCAGATGTTCTATCTTGAGCTCAATATGGCTGGTCTGTTGAAGCCTTCTGAAATCTTTCGAGTCGTCCTGGCCAGAAGGCTCAATTGGTTACGGCATCCTCCCATTCACCAAAAAAATGGCTGCAGGTTCTACTCCCGGTCAGGGCACGTACCTGGGTTGCTGCTTTGATACCCTGTCTCTCTCCCCTTCTCCCTTTCTCTCTCTGAAATCAATAAAAACTTATGCTCAAAATAAACCAAAAAAGAACACACTGCACAGAAAAGTGATCGTTCGAATTCCCTAGAACTCTGGAAGACCCAAGATTGGTGTGACCAAGATTGCTAACTATGGTGAACAACATACACTGATGAACAGGAACAGACCCAGAGATAAGAAGCCATGGGTCAGACTGTTGGACCTCAGAGGGAGGGTGGGGATAAAAGGGAGAGATCAACCAAAGGACTTGTGAGCACATTTATGAGCCTAACAGTGGTCAAGGACAATAGGGGGGTGGGGGCATGAGTGGGGAGGGGTGGGGGATTGGAATGGGGGTTTGAGAACAAATATGTGATACCTTAATCAATAAAGAAATTTTTTAAAAAATTGCTAACTATTCACCAGAGTCCTTTTGCTCCAACTGGGGACACGGCTACGCTCATCACTCAACTCCCCCCCCCCCCCCGCCCCGCTTCATGCAGTTAGTTGCGGCCATGCCTGAGCTTGGTGGATGGGGGTGGGGGGAGTGGAAATGACTGACCGCTTCTGAGCTGACCCATACAGCCCTCCCAGGCTTTGCTCCCAAGCTTTCCCCTCTGGCTGGCCTGAAGCCGAACCCTCGGGTGAGTTTGGAAGCCACAGGCTGACACCTGGATCCCTGCCTGCAGCATCACGCTGACATGTTCACAGGAGAGCCAGCCTTCTCTCCTCTTTGGGCGTCTACCTGTCACAGCAGCTAACCTTTCTGATCCAGTAGAACTAAGTTACAACTAAACCGAAGCTCTCCTCACCTGTGCCAGCCTGTGACTGTCCCTTTCCGAAGAAGACAGAGGCCATTCAAACGCCAGGACAATCCTTCTCGGCATGTCTGACAACTGAAGTCCTGTCGGTGTGTGACCATGAGGAAGATGGGAACCTTGCCTCTGGCTGGCCCGGGCTTGGGCCACAGCCACAGAGCGCGAGGGCAGATTCCGGTGATGTCAGGGCACAGCTTGCCTTGACCCTCAGAGACACGAGTCCAGCCCTGCAGGTCTTGGACCAATGCCCGACTGCCTCCTCGGGCACTGTGGCCCTGGCCTCATCTGTGCTTCCTTCCAGAAATGCCACAAAACACTGCCCGTTGTTGTCAGGGAGAAGCTGCCAAATGCTCTTTCAAAAAGCCACTGCGACCTGCCCGGCCAGAGCGAGGCCGCACCCCACGGCCCACCTGCTGAACGAAGCATTCGGCTGATCGATAGGGCAGGGGTGCACCCGCGGACAGTTCACTCCCCGGGCAGAGTCCCCCTAGCAGGGCAGATCGGCTCCACTCTTTCAGCTGCTTCTACTCAGCAACAGAGACTTCAGAGCAGCTCCCTCCCCAATGGACTGGCACGTAGGTAACGAGTTACATTAAGAGAATTAGCAGCACGTATTGCATGTAATTGCTTGTCCCACCCAGGTCTAGGCAACAATTCAAAGGATAAATGATTGATAAACTCCTTCTTCATAGCAGGTTCATTGGCTTTGAGGTCATCCCAGTACAATGTTCTTCACCTGTTAGTGCCATAGAGCTTTTTACTAAGTTGGTGCAATGTCTTGACCCTTTCACAGAAAAATATAAATGCCCACAGGTGCACACGTACATGACACATGATGTCAGGCACAAACAGCATGCCTGGTTCATCCGTGATCCTGGGCTCATGCACACTCCAGGGCAAAGGTCAGCAACCACTCTCTCTCAAGGGCCAGATTGTACCGGGTCTGGCATTGGGGCCACACACAGGCACCATCACAATTACTCAGCTCTTCATTGCAGAGCAAATGTTGGCCTGGCTGTGTCCCACAAGACTTTATTTATAGACTCTGAGCTTCATATAATTTTCACGTCACTAAATATTAGGCTTTTCATTTTTTCAGCCATTTCAAAAATAAAAAGCTATCATTCGTCGGTAGTCTGTACAAAAACTGGTGACAGACCACAGCTGTAGGGCATGGGTTCCAGATACAAAAATATTACATTTTGAGATTCACCCGAGGATATTTTTCCATTGACTTTTAGAGACAGTGGAAAGGAGGAAAGGGGATTGGGGAGGGAGAGAGAAAGAGAGAAACATTGATGTGAGAGAGACACATGGATTGGCTGCCTCCTGTACGTTCCACAACCAGGGTCTGGGGTCAAACCTGCAACCCAGGTATGTGCCCTTAACCAGGAATTGAACCCGAGACCCTTTGGTACAAAAACCAACACTTTTCATCACTGAGCAACACCGGCCAGGGCGTCACGAACTTCCATGCTGAACGCAGGCAGCAAACCTCAGCAGTGTCGGCAGTAACGGTGCTGGGCCCCCAGCAGAAATCCCAGGCACATCAGAGCACTTCCACTCAACGCAGAAGCACAATCGTGCTCGTCCTATTCTTGAGTTGCGGTCACTGTTGGACCTTCTGCTGCATCTTGCTACGTAAACGCATTGCTAGAGAAGCACTTCTACTCTGTCACAAATGTGATTTCTATGTTTTGATAGCTGTACTTCAGTGTCATTGGTTTCCTTTCTAACCCTAGACACTTCACTCTGCAGATTTAAAAACAGATTTCTGAAAAGCAGTCCTAGCTTTCGCCAGCTACTGTGAAGGCCAGGGTTTGGGGAAGGTGAGGGGCCGGGCAGGAGTCTAGTGTCGCCTACCAGAGCGTTCACGTCCTCCGTCTTGTGGATGAGCATCCGGATCTCCTCCGGGTCGCCGCTGAAGATGGCCTGGACCAGCGGCGGCTGCAAAGGCAGGAGAGTCTGAGTCACAACTATGATTAAATACATTCGACTGCAGGCAGAGGAAGGAGGCTGGAAAATGTGTTCCCCAAAGTGAATCCAGCACGGTCAGATGGACAGGGCCCAGGCCCCCTCCCTGGAAGTCTAGGGGGGAGACAGATGCATAAAGAAATAACTGTAACACCATGTGGAGGCCGTGACACAGTCACACCTGACCTAGGGCTATTGGTGTGACATGAAAACTGTGGAAATTGTGGAAACAGTTGAAATTGTCCTTGACAGGCCCTGAACTTCCCCATCGTGGAAAGGACCAAATCTGCGGTTCTGTGCAAACGGTACCCCGTGACCCCCCCCCCCTCCCATTGGGCAATGTCCCTGGTACCCCGTTCCTCAAACAATCCATTCCCACAGGATGTTAGCGGCCATGCTGCTGGCCTCCTCAGCGCTTCCGTGTCCATGTTGGGGAACCTTGGACATCATTCCCGAGCACTTCCCATCGTGTTCCCAACAAGCACTGAGTATTTAAGACGCAATCACACCCACTGCCTACCCACAGGCTGTGGGATGGAGGCAGGTGAGGAGCAGGAAGGCAGCCGATACTCAGCACTTCCTACTGTCCTCACCCGCATCAAGCAAGACCCAACGCGTAGTGGGGGCTAGAGAGTGTGATGGTCTATCGAGCTGGAAGCGAACCCAGCTCTGCCGGGGCAGGCAGGTGAGGAGAGGGGTCCAGACAAGCTTCAGGAAGCACCTTCATGAGCATGGGAAGGGCAGGCCAGGCGAGACCTGGGGGCCTGCACGGTCAGAGGTGCGGAGATAAAGACACAAAGAGCTGATACGTCTGAAATTCTGCCCACCCGAGTGCGAAGAACAAGAGGGCCCAGGGTGGGCTCAGGGCTAGCGCTGGGCCTGCCCAAGGGGTGAGAACCCTGTGCAAAGCCAGCTCCACGCCTCAGCTCCTTCCTCAGTGCCACCGGGGTACGCACGCTCTCTGTGGCCCAGCCCCTTGCAGGACTGTTACCAGGAAGCAGTGAGATCTGTATGGGAAACCCCTCTACAGCCATATAACCCTACACAAACAATATGTGTTTTTTTTGTATTTTTTCTTTTTCTTTTTTATTGATTTCAGAGGGAGAGAGCGATAGAAACATCCATGATGAGAGAGAATCATTGACCAGCTGCCTCCTGCACACACCCCACTGGGGATCAAGTGCACAACTCAGGAATGTGCCCTGACCAGGAATTGAACCATGACCTCCTGGTTCGTGGGTCAATGCTCAACCACTGAGCCACACCCACTGAGCTCAACAAAAATACTGAATCACGTTTATCTGCCTCATAATCCTCTACCTGCTGCGCTCCGGGCCAAATGCTCACGTGCACTTTCCCGCCTCTGAACCCCAAGAGAAAACAAATCGCCACGCCCAGTAGCCGCAGATGGCAAGCAGAGGCAGAGCCCCGAGGATCTGGGCGTGGAGTCAGCAGTTGAGAAGTTCAGGTGCTGAGAGACAAGCCCGTCCCAGCAGTGACGCACCCGGGGCATCACCCTAAGAACACAGCCAGGTGAGAAAGCCTGTCTCTCCCTCGCCAGTGGCAGAAAGGAACACGACACTGTGGCATTCGGTCCTTGCACTTCTCAGGAAAGGCCAGGGCTTCAGCCACGGCTGGAGGGTTCCCAGGAGAGACACCCCACAAGGCTGCCAGGCAGGGAGGCCAGCTCAGCCCTCCACAGGGAGGGTGCACACAGCTCCCCACGCCCTGGGCACCACCCTGGGCCTGCCTCAAGGGCATCCCCAACGCCCGAGTCCCAGCAGAGGGCGAGGTGCACACCTGTCCACATCCGGGCGGCTCCACCGTGGAGGGGGCTGTCAGTGCGCAGAACTCCCCGCAGCCACTGGGAAGGAGAAGCCAAGCTACTGTTGGAACTCCTCCATTCTGCACTCACATGTGCACATACAGATACACCCACGTGGACATGCCTGCGTTTGCATGGGCATCTACCCGTGTGTGTGTGTGTGTGTGTGTGTGTGTGTGTGTGTGTGTACACGGGGGTAGATGTCCATTCACGTACAAACCCCTCACGCTCCCTAGGGATAGGACAGTGCCTGTTCCCCCACATCCTGCCAGATGGAGTCTCACAGTCGTGAACCCAGGCGTCACCAGCTCCCAACAGAGCTTCACCGGCACATGCTTTGTTTGAACGGAAGCTGCGTGTTTGCAAGGATGTAATCCTTGAACTAAACTACTGTGACTCTTGAGCAAGTTAGTGTTTTGTTTTATTTTTTAAGACATAATGGGCCCAGCCTGCATGTCTCAGTGGTTGAGCGTCAACCTAGGAACCAGGAGGTCATGGTTCCATCCCTGGTCAGGGTACATGCCCGGGTTGTGAGCTTGATCCCCAGTAGGAGGCGTGCAGGAGGCAGCTGATTCATGATTCTCTTTCATCATTGATGTTTCTCTCTCTCTCCCTCTCCCTTTCTCTCTGAAATCAATAAAAATATATATTTTAAAAAGAGACATGGGGGTGTTTCTTTTTTCTCTCTCCACGTCCCCAAATACAACATGCCCAGCAAGCACGCTGGCATTCTCATTGGCTGGGGTTTTAATCTGATCCTGCTGTCTTCTTTTTTCCTAATTATAAACGACTACTCTGGGAATAAATACTTGGGGAAAGATAGATCTAAATACTGTCTCAGCCGAAACCGGTTTGGCTCAGTGGATAGAGTGTCAGCCTGCGGACTGAAAGGTCCCAGGTTCGATTCTGGTCAAGGGCATGTACCTTGGTTGCAGGCACATCCTCAGGAGGGAGTGTGCAAGAGGCAGCTGATGGATGTTTCTCTCTCATCGATGTTTCTAACTCTCTATCCCTCTCTTCCTCTCTGTAAAAAAATCAATAAAATACATTTTTTTTAAAAATACTGTCTCAATTACATAATTTTAAGGAAGGGGAACTATGCTAAGTACAGCATCCTTGCTCATGAGTATAAAGCACTTAGACTGTATTGATCACTGATTGGAAATGACTGTATCTTTGGCGCTTTCGCCTTGGCCTTTATAAGGCTTCTTAGAGGCAGTCTTCCCTGAGAGAGAGTAGGGTCCTAAGCCTGGGCACGGACGGCTTTTCTTGTGGAAGTTTCAACGTGCGACACTAGCAAACGCGAAACAGGAGTGCTTCGGGTGCAGCTGGAACAAAGCGGATAGATCCCAATTCACAGCAAGGGTCAAAGCTACAGAAAGCAAAGAGTGGCAGGGGACAAAGAGAGATTCTGATGCCATGAAACCCCTGGTTATCGTTCCCCACAGAAACGTAACTTACGGGTGATGTTTGGAAGAACTGCATGCCTGAAAGCTGTATCGCTTTATTAACCAATGTCACTCCAATAAATTCAATGTTAAAAAAAGGAAAAAAAAAGAAATGCACACTCTTAAGGGAGGTCTGCAGGAAGTTCAGCTTCTATTAGAACTGCCTTGGCCTGCTCCGCTGCTATGAACTGGCAATGAGGGCCAGGTGCTATGGATAGTGTCACAGCCCCTCAGGTAGACTCAGGCACAGGAACACCTCCTGTGCCTGCCTCACCGATGGCGCAGGTGGACGTCAGCCTTCAGACGGGACCTGTCCTGTTCCAACCTCACCTTCTATCCGCACAACCCTCTTTGCACAGCTGGTGACATCTGACCCCTCTCCAACGGAGAGCGCAAGGCAGAGGCATCCCTTGAAGTTGGCAGCCACTATGAAGGACGTGGCTAGCCTTGCTACCACTAGAAACTAGAAATGTATCTGCAAAATACCAGTGTCTCCATACTCATTCCCCATCAGCCCATGCAAGGCAACGTTTCTCGATTTTAACCTCAGTCTTTGAGAACAAATGGAGAAGATACCTGATTTCCACAAATAAGGTGCTGAAGCAAGCATGTCTGCACACAGTATTCCCAAATTTTGCAGTAGAGTCAGAATTCCACTAGGGGGAGCAAGACGGTAATCTGTCACCTGGGAGATGGGAGTGAATGCTCGGGTTGTGTCCTTAAGAAAATTAAGGTGGCTGGAGGATGAACTGTATTCAGACATAAAAAGAACTCGAGCTCCTGAGAGGGTTCCTATATAAGCAAACACACTAGCTCTGTACAGACCCAGGAAAAAACTTCCCTCTTGATCCCTGAAGGCCCAGGCATCATTCTCATCTTTGCAAACCCCCATCCAATCATTCCCTCAATTTCACTTTTTAAAAGTGCATCCAACAGGCATGTAAGCATGCATGTATGTATGTATATACTAGTGGACCAGTGCACAAAATTCATGCACCGAAATGCACAAAATTCATGTCCCTCAGCCCGGCCTGCACCCTCTCCAATCTGGGACTGCTGGCTCCTAACCGCTAGCCTGCCTCCCTGCCTGATTGCCCCTAACCACTTCTGCCTGCCAGCCTGATCACCCCCTAACCACTCCCCTGCCAGCCTGATTGACACCTAATTGCTCCCCTGCCAGCCTGATTGCCCCTAACCTCCCTCCCTTGCCGCAACCTGTCTCCTCTGCCGGGACTGGCCTCCTCCACACCACACGGAGTTATGGAACCCCCCAGGCCTCACTGCATGGAGTGGCTGCTGGGCCCCACCTCTGCTGTGAACATGGCCATCTTTGTGGTGGTCATCTTGTGGCGACCATCTTGTGATGAAGTTGCACACAAGGGCCACCTAGGCATGTGTGTGTGTGTGTGTGTGTGTGTGTGTGTGTGTATTTCAAAGAGGAAGGGAGAGGAGAGAGAGATGAGGGAGAACCATTGATCAGCTCCCTCCTGAACACCTCATACTGGAGATCAAGTCTGTAACCCGCGCATGTACCCTCCCCAGTAATCCAACTGTGACCCCTAGTTCATAGGCAGACCCTCAGCTACTGAGCCATGCCAGCCAGGCGCATCCAGCAGTTGAAGAATAAAGTCCATCATGGGTTCTGTGGGGAGAGGGCCACCTGCATAGAGTATCCACGCCAACCTGCAATTAGGCCCTGG